AAACTCCAAATACAAATGAAAACATCAAGTAACAGTGAGGTGGCTTAATAGTTTGGGTGCATTGGCGCCAACAGGGCCCAGTCGCCGTAAGTGCACGAAGCAAGACACGCCTCTAGACGTGGATTTGGGCCCCACGTCTGTGAATCAACGCCCCCAGAGACAGATGAATCCAACAGGGCCCGCCATGAGATGTGTTGGTTTTGGGATGTTGCGCAGACCCTGCGCAGGCATAGACCAGTCTCTAAAAAGGAGTTTTGAATGCATCGGTCTCTACTAAAAAGAGTTTTGAGTGCATTGGTTTGAACCCTGATGGTCCAGTTGGTAATTTGAGTTGCCTTTTTCGCTGGGTGTCAGCATAAACTGAAGGCCACAAGCGATATATTGTAACAAGAGCGTGCTTTGCAGGCTCTTTGAACCGTTTGTAGGCTCTTCGCAACCAAGTTAATGTTATTTTTATTTGCAAAAACCAACCATTATTTGACACCCAGGCAAGAAAAAAACAGAGAAAAACATGAAACAAGAAAGAACAAAAGAAAGAAAATGTATGGAACAAAAAGGGAATGAAGAGAACATAAACAAGAACGAAGAATAAAAATATCTCAAAAAAGGAAAGAAACTCTATAGAAAGAATATATATTTGTTGACACATAAACACAACTAAATAAAGAAAAACCGCGAACAAACAAAAACAAGAAACGAAAAACATGCAACATCAGAAAGGAAGATGGAAGAAGACTCCCGATGGACAGGTGGTGCAGGAGTCATTTCCCCCTCCCAAATCGGACTCAGACCGACGGACTACCCGACGGATGCCAATGGGCGACATGGGCGGTCCCGCCAGGTCCGCCGGGAAACCGGAAGCGATGAAACACACAGCCAGCCTGGTCCAGTCTGACCCAGTAAAGCCTGGGCCCGGAAACTTCATTCAATATTTGTAGGATCAACTTAGTAGAATGGGATCAAACTGACCTGTATGGACTGAAGCTGGAGGGTTTCACTTAGCTCAGCCGTGCACATGGCATCCTTCTGTTCATCAAGCCTGTTTTGCCAACCACTCTGAAGACCGAAGATCTTTGAGCACGTCCCACCGAATGGAGCTGCACCGAACTGCTTACAACAAACATTTTCCGCACTGCTAGTTCCCCATCAGCTGCAACCAATCACAAAGGGAGACCTCCCAGGCACTTTTTGGACGAAGGGAAATAGACCGTCAAACCATGGGGCCAGGGAAACCCACATGAACGTGAGTCTTATTGCACCATGTAGCTCCGGAACAAGATGTTGTCGCGAGATCAAGGAATAGCCCCCCCAGAGGAGGTCACCCAGACCCAACTTGTCACTTAAATGTCATCGCGTTGTGGCTTCACTTGAGCCAAGATGCAAAACAAAAACCTCCTGCGACGTTAGAACGAAAACAACATCTCCCTGGATAAATTGCGGGTTGTCCTTAAAAACCATTATTAAGTTGAGAGAAACCCTGAAAATTCTATTCCAATCAGGTGTAGCGGGCAAAAAATCTCCCCCTACGAGCCACCCACTGCAAGATTCGCTGCAACGGCCCAGGGCTGCTGTTGTACCTTGGCCAGAAGAGGGCTGGTTGCTGCGCGTTCTTTGAAGTACTCAACGATGCCATCAAACAAGTCCCGTCACCTTTGAGATCGAAGGGGAGGGTTGTGAGCTGGTTCAGATTTTTCAAGATGTCCTCGGACGCACCAAGCCCAGCGTAGGTTTTGTGGAAGGTAGCAACACGTAGAGGTTCTCTCTTCGCAACGTTGGTTTCACCGCTCATCGTACGAAACGAAGCCTATCAAGGCTTGGCATGAAAAGAGGATGGTCCCAAATGCCAAAGACGGTGGGTGTACCACAGGACACCTTCCCCTGGCAATGGTGTTTGCCATCAAGACTGCATCAAATGCATATCAGTAAAAGCAGCTCTTTCTGAAAGTGTACCTGATTGTGAGTTCCCCTCCAGTGGTACGGGTAGATGAGCCAGAACAAAAATCTCCCCATTTCCTGTTCCTGACTTTATACCCCTCATGCTTGATACAGACGCTGATACAATCATTCGTGAATCCAAGCGAACCCTCGTGACAAGTCACCAAAAACTGTTCCCGTGAGGCTTCCAACTACTATTTTAGTGGCTGCCGAAGCACCATTGTTTTACAACGCCAGGCCCACCGTAGTTTAAATGGTCTCAGTCTCGGACTTCCCCAACCGCGGGTCCTGTGAGAGGCTTTGCTCCCCCCACCCACCCACCCGCCACCCAGCCGAACCAGCGGTACCGGGGCACCCGCCGGCCCAGTCCCGGGAGAACTCCCTGCAGCCGCTGGGACGAATCGATCCTGGCGTGGAACGAACGTTGGGCGTGGAACGGTGGTCTTTGGTTTGGTTCACCCTCCCCACTCGGGCGGAGTGGACGGCTGGACGGATCGTCGCTGAGCGGCGCTTTTTTCAGGAAAATGGCTCAGAGGCTCCCAAAAGCGGGCAAGTTTGGAGGATCCGGCCCCGAGAAAAAACGGAGGGTGGCAGGTTTTCGCGGCAGAAAGTTTGGTATGCTGGTCAAACATGGTCAAACTGTGTAAAAGACCCCAGTCTTTTGGCAGCCGGGTGTACCTAATAATTCCGTTTTCGGGGTTCTGCTCTTGCAACGTTTGGGTGCAGGGCAAAATGGCGGTGAATCAAAACCTCACCCACCAAACCATAGAAGGTTGGAATTTCCGGGGTCAGGCGATTCCAGCTGTCCGGGACATCGGCGCTATCGACCTGGTGCCTCTCCACCTGACGTAGTGCGAGGAAGCCACGAACGATCCCAGCACGCTCAGCGTGGCGCTGCGCGACGATGGCCGAGCTCAAACTCAAGCAGAATGTTGAGCAGGAGGGAATACGCGACGTTTAAGGCATGGAGTGGCGCAGCATCACTCGAGAACGTCGCTCGAGCATCACGTCAGAGTATCACTCGAATCAATCCGAGCCCGCACGCAGTGACGGACCGAAGGGTCGACTGCGACCGCTTGGGACGGAGGTGGCCAGCGCCGCTTCAGGGGCCCGAACGGGCCGCCTTCGGGCCAGCGGCTCGGACGAGGTACCGAGCGAACGAGACGCGCCTGACGGCGCGGTTGACGGCGTGCAAGGCATGGGCAGGCATGGGTAGCCAGGAACTCATGAACGCAGCGGTCCTCATCTATGCACGCGACCCCCAGAGAGGCCAATAGAAGTACATTCCCCTAACCATCTGAGACGTGAGTTGGAACGGCTCTTCGCACGGCAGTTTTCGAGGTGAATTCTACAGACATCGCGTCTGACGCGCTGGCGTACCATAGCGGCTGCCAAACACATCACTAACATTCATGAAGACATCAACACGGCCCCCAATTGATTATATAGGGTTAGTGATCTGCTCCTTTTTGATTCCTTTTTGTATTGACATCGCCAGAGTCTCGAAGTCTCAAGTCGTTCGGAAGACCTCGGACAAATGGGTACCTCAAAGTCTACAGTCGTACCATATCATACCTGATCATACATGCTTTCAATATGGGTCATGTTTTCGGTCAGTATATATATATATATACCCACAATATATATATATATATACCACTGTCGGGCTCCGCCGTCGTGCCTTCGTTGTGGGACATGGTTTTTAACGGTGGGTGGGTGCCAGAAGTTTGGAGGGTCCAGTCATACTATAAGACATCTATATAGACTATTGGTCGGTCATACCTCCCACCTGTTTGGTGCTCATAGCATCTCGATCATTTTTCGATCGGGATGGACGACCCGAGGCCCGGAGCGACGCCTGGGGAACGAGGAGGTTCCGTCCGTTGTCCCGGTGGAGAGGTTCCAGTCGTCCGGCAGGGGGTTGGCCATGGTACGGGGGCGTCCGGGGGAGCTTCCGAACGAAGAAGCCCTGGGTACCCTATTCATTTGGAGCGATGTTTGGGGAAACCGGTGGCTTGCGTTTTTTTTGCCCCATCTCGCATACAGATGATGTCCAATGCGTTTGTGGTGCAGAATCGTTGGTCTTTCTTTTGCAAAGCAAGGAGAAAGCTGAAGACCTTTCGGAAAAATAACAAAAATAGAAATGTAAAGATAAAAGGCTGAGAAGTCTTTGACGAGAAGGATATGTTTTTCATTGTTTTTCCAGGTCACAGGTGAAGTTGAGATCCTGAAGTCGGTCAATGAATGTGCTGTCGCCTTAATCATCAACGGGGGAAGTGGGTCGCAGCGACGTTTTGAGAAACACATGGCGCCGTCGGGAACTATGTTTCACCGACTCTGTGCAGCATGGAATCGCCACTTTCTCCATGTCCAACGGGCAACACGAACAGGGCCTCACCAACATGAAAAGGGCAGCATGCCATCGCTACTAGGTTGGAAGCCATCGCCCGCCCTGCTTGGACCGCAAGGATCCACAAGGCACAGTGCTGTCCGGCCGAGTCTACCGAGCCATTCTCGTTTACAAATTGGCAACTGGACACACCAAAGCCGTTGGCACCATCACGACCCGGCGCCATGTGCCTCGAACACGCCCAAGAGTGGCCTCCAGGTTCGTTGCTTGCACGCCAAATGCTGGAAGAGAACGACTTTCCCGTTCGTGTGGTTCGCGGGGAGTGGCCGTTGGTTGGCCACACGTGGTCCCTAGGGCTTGACGTCTTTTCATTTGGAGCTTGTAGAGGTTTGAATCAGAAGGGCCGCGGATGGCCGCGGGTGTCGAAGAGGAAGGCAGCTCAGCTTCAAAGAAAGTGTCTGGCCCTGGAGAGGAAAAGAGCGGCACAGTCATGTGATCCAGCAGAATTGGAGAGGTGCCCCCATTTGGTGAGCGATGGCCACCTGGTATGCTGACAGGTCCACATCGCATGCTGACAGCATGTCCACTCCCGGAATGACGCCACAAGCCAGAAGCCCTTGCAGCAAGTGCGCAGGCTCCATTTGCCTCAACGCTGGTAGTTAGTCATTCATCCTGCTCCGTTGTTATCTGATTTGCCAGGGTATAGTTATAGTCTAGTGGCCCCTACATAGATAGAACGCATTCCAATACGTTCTTGGTGAGGATCTCCTGTTCTAAGTAATTCGGGGACCACTATAATGCTGAACTTGCTTCAAAAGCACCGTTTGCAGGAGTTTCGATCCGGGGGGACTTTGCCAAGTCGAGCTCCCGCGCAACCGGCAAAATGTTCAGCAAGTCGAACTCCATCAGAGCCTGGAAAAGGGCTGGGGAAATCAGGGCTAGGCAGCTGCACCTTGGTCACTAAGTGATGCCCAGCACGTGCACCTCCCAATCACTTGCAACACTGAGCTGTTGCAACACTTGGAGGTCTGGTTGAAAGTGTAAGTTGTGCGAAACTTGTTGAGGTGAGAAGTTCATGTCCCTTGTGATTTCGACCATGCCTTACATCAGCCCGTCATCGCGTCGCTCAAAAAAGCAGTCAGACGCCATCAGACAACCCAGTCCAAGTCCTTCAACCCGAAAAAGAACGCGTCGGACGGATCCCTTCTCTTAGAGTAACGCCCACAGAAGCTGAGTACTGGTTGAGCGAGTGGTGTGAAGTCGAGTGGAAAATCAAGTAACAAGAAGCTACGAACGGGGCTCCTGGCATCGGACCATTCTTGCTTCGTTCGTCACAAGAAGCTACTAACAGAAACCGTGACATCCGTGACTTGCTTTCGACAGCCCAAAAAGGGATGAGGTCACCAGCCTACAAGCCTGGCATGCCAAGTTCGCCCTTTTTTGAGTGCTTGAAATGTCTTGAAGAGGCTTACTTGTCCGCATTTCTGGACTGTTTCCCACCTTTGCTCTGCAGCAGGCAGCATCCGTGGTCGCTCGAGCATCCAGCGCGAGGCGCTCGGAGAGTCACAGCTCGGAGAGACGCGTTCACCTGGCAGGGGAAATGGTTATGAGTCGAGTCATGGCACCTCCCTCACCAAACCGTAGGTTGACACCATCTTATAGAGGAATCGGTTCATTTGACGAGAGATAAAATTGGTGCTCGGATTTGACCCACAGTCTAAAGGTTTGGAAATTAAAGGGCACCAACCCATCAAACGAATCTCAGATGTGAGATCCATCTACGTTGATTCCATACATTATATACTCCTCCGACACATTGATTCCATAGCACCACCACCACGACGGTTTCTATTGTACGTGACGTTGTGTTCACGGTTTTCATTGTCAGCAACCACGGCTTGGGTTCACCACTTCGCCGGTTCGCGGTTCGTGGAGCGTTCCCATCTCTTCCAGCACCCGGGATCTCCAGCACCTCGGAGGGAGAGAAGAACATGTTCGGAACCTTTGAGTGATAGTTCGAGTCTGTTCCAACTGAATCCCCAATGACTCGGATTGGGCGTGGCAGAATTGGAAACAGCCAGGGAATCCAAATGTGCATTTTTTTTTTTCAAACACGTTCGCACAAAAAGTCCGTGCATCCGGCCATTTTTGTCAAATGGACAAATTTTCTGGAATTCCTCCGAATGTTGGGTTTGATTGGGTTTTATCAATATATTTTTGGGTTTTTGTCGATAAAATGTTGATAAAGTTTGGGTTTCATATGGGTACGCTTTTGTACGGTATTGTTTTTCTGTCCATACGGCTAAATACGCTAATTCGTTAATTAAAATGTCCATACGATAAATTCTGTCCAAATACGGCCTTCGCACAAAAAAAAGTGTTCATACGCCTTTCCAGGAGTCTATAGTAGTGCTGCAGGAATGTAGTACAGTAATTTGGAACAGTGTTGTTCGCAATTTGTCAACGCAAACGCATACTCATGTGCTCCGCTTCCGCCTCCGACCCCAGCTGCTTACCGTGCCGCAGTCGTCCATGCAGAAGATGAGTGCCAACGCCAAGGCCACGGCGACCAGTGAAGCAATGTGAAACATGGGAAAAAGAAAAAATACCTCCTGTGCAATGTAGACTCTTGATTAAATAATATGAAGAGTCTTACAATCCAAAATGGGCGGCTACTAATCAAGAGTGTGCAGATCTCGAACCTCCAAATACCGTTGCGTTTGTGTGGTCCAGACGGTTGCGGAGGACCCAGTGCTTTCTCCAAGGGACGACGGTTGCGGCATTGGTCTTCTATCTCTACAATTAATGACTGACACCAACAGCTCTAAGAATCCGTTCGCCGGGATCGGGTCACAGGATTCGTCACAGCTCGGAAAAACCCGTCGAGATCCGTCACATGCGAAGAACAACCTGATAGGCGGTTCCAAAGAATTCCCGAATCCCATATGGGCACTGGATCGGGCATTCCCACCAAAAAAAGCTTGCTGACGTATGCTGACGTGTCTTTTTTGATACATCGTGGCAGGATCTTTGTATGTGAACCGCTCGATTTTGCCACCCAGGTGGCACGCACATGCCGCACATACGTAGAGTTCCTGGCTTGACTTTTCTGTTGAGAACAGGGCACCCTGAGAAAAGCACCAGATCCAGGAAAGTTGCATTAACTTCGTCGATGACTGTTACTGTAGAAATTACGTATGACCACAGGAGTGACCACATGTTTGGAGGAAGTCTTGGTGCCTATGGAAAACGACGCAGGCGGCTCCTGGCAATGCCAAGTTTGAGGTGCTTTTTTCTTCCGAACGGTCGACTTTTTGCGTGCTGGGCAGGTGAACTTCGGCCGAGCTTGTTGCGACTGAATGTCCGGACAACGGACAACTCGGCAGTGACCGTAACAACCCTAGAATAGGACAGGGTATGGCTTCACTGCCACTCAAAGCGTCAGTCTTGTTTGACCAATTCATCAAGAACAGGCACTAAGAAAAGAACAGCTCTTTGGAGGAAGGTGTTCCATGGTTTATTTGCCCCGCTCTACCGAACTCCGGGGGGGCTGCGAGAGCACAGCCCAGCTCACGACCGTCGTTGAACAACGCTTTGGGTGTCCCTTCCGCTCCGACCGGCGCCCAGACCGGCGACCCCTTCACAGCCGGAGGGTCTGGACCAGTCGCACCGCTGTGAACGGAGCGGCTGGGGTGGACGGAAGAGACCCGCAGACCGATGTTGCCAGGGAGCGGCTTCCGCGCGCTCGCCCAGCGTGAAAGGTGCGGAGACGATGCCCCGTGGTTGAAGTTGCTGCACCCGATACTGTACGACCAGATGCGAAACCAATTCAGATCTGTCACATTCGTTCACCATCTGGCAAACCCCACGTTCTTTCAGCTGGGCAATTTGATTTCACATGATTTCACTCCTTGTTCAGGCACCTCATGGTGAAGTTTGTGAGGTGTGAGTGTGAGGATTCTTATGTCACTGTCCCACAGGAAAAAAGGCGCTGTTCGCTGTTTGGTATGTGCGAGCTGGGTTCACTGACCCACAGCTGTGGTTTCCTTACAGACTATACACTGTGAACAGCACAATGCAGAGAACCCTGTGAATCCTGCAGCGTCGTCCCCAGTGGATCCAGGCAGTTCCCACCAGGTCACGCGACGCTGGACCCGAATCCTTTGGGTCGGGGTCCGGACCTTCTCACCCAATCCCTATATGGTTTTGAGGGACCGGTTGACCTGTGAATGGAGCGTTGGGGCTGTTACCAAATGGAATTTGTTTCATGTGTTTTTCATTTGTTTCTGTTTACCACTCCGACTTCGTAGTGAATTCATCAAGAACGAGCGGCTCATCATCAACCGTGCTTCCGAGCGACTCATCGAAGGGTTTGGACGAAACTCATACTTGTTCGGCGTCCGGACATAGAAAGCTTGCCTTTCCAGCACCAGTTTCAGAGATATTGGATGTGTTGGAGGATCATCGGGCTGCAAGGCTTCAGTTTACACATGGCCGTCGACGATTTCATTTACTCATCCAGATGTATGCCTAGTCCGGAACCTCAAACATGTCTTCCATTGTTCCCTGCTTTTCTTTATATCACTTGTTTCTTTCAACCTTCGGATCCTTCGGGCCTTTCTCCACACCAGACACCAGTCGTCCATCGACCGCTTCGAAAACAGCCCCGTCGTCCATGGGCCGTTGCCTGAAACGGCCAGGCGGCGCGAGTGTCGGTCCAGCAGTGGCCTTCAGTGGCGTCTCTTGGATGGAAAACCTCATAGAAGCTCAGTCCCTTCCGGATTGGGAAGCTGATGGAAGAGATCAAGATTTGGAACACAAGGATGTTGTGTTCCTTCGCCATGCAAAAAACGATCTGCGCAGCTTTTGGATCATCAAAACCATGCAAAACCTACTATACTGTACTTCTTTGGCAATCCATGGCGCGGTTCGACATCGGGACATCGATTTGGGGGCTTCGACGCCGGAATGGGAAGCCTGTTCGCCGGGCTTCGACCGGCTGAGGGATGGAAAGACCGCGGACCAATCGCAGAATGACACCGATCGAGGGGTACCACCGACCTAAAACCAGAACCATCGAAAGCAAGACCGATCCAAGAACCGATGGGCAGGGGGTTTAGACAAGACGCCATCCAAGGCCCAACACACTCCATGTGTGGAATAGTATACCTACATTGACCCCTCATGGTAAAAACCCCAATGTAGGTATATATTCCGTCGACATGGAGTGAGGAGTGTCATTTAGATTTCTTCATCTCTGTGTTGCTCGCCTCTTGATCGCCCACTCAAATAAGGCCTCCCTAACGATCGCCCGAGGGAAGAGCCTGGAATGGGTGGGCTTTGTTCGTGTAATCACGCTGCAGAGAGCCGAAGTCCCAAGCACTTCTTCAGTGCGGAAGGAACGGGTCTCCATTTGGATGAGCCCCACTTCAAGGTCCAAGTCCGTCTCATTCCATCCGTCAGCATTCGCCACGCACTTCTAGGGCGCCGTGTCCGCGGGACCTAGGCGTCGGACCGCAGGAAACACCATGCTCTAAGACCTCCACCAAATGGGTGAATGATCTCCTCCCCTCCACGTTAGATATCTCTCTTTCTCCCCAATGCTTCGACTGGCTGCAACCAGCAATGGTTCAAGAAGCTCCTCATGTAGCACCGCCACCGCCCGCAGCGCCCGCGGTGCCCGACGCGGCATCACCTCAGACGCTGGTGACGCTGGCACCCCTGCCGCGCGAGCTGCTCAGCCCGCCGGTGAGCAAACTCAAGTCCGTCTCCACTGAGGTGCCACCTGAGGGAAGGAAGGTGGAGTAATTGGATGGGAGGATGGAAGGGTGGAAAGCATGAATTCAACATTAATTCAAAAAACTAGCTTCTTCCAAGTGACCTCTTTGAAGTCTCTAAGTGACCTATTACCGGCCTAAGTGACCTCAAACCAGGGGATCAAAAGGTCATTTGGAAGAATCAGGAAGTGTGCTTTAGACTTTAGATCTTTGGCTTCTGGACAGGGGCAGCGAATGCCCGCGCACCGCACAGCTTTAGACTGCAGTCGACCTTCACCTTTTGTTGGGCATGGGCGGTGATTGAGGATCGGATTGGGCCGAAACTGGTATGGGGGAAGGTCTAGAGATCTCGTGATTTTAAGCATTTGCAAGCTTCTTTCGCTGGTCAGATGAAGCAAGGAAGGCTCATTCCCACAACTTACAAGCTGTGGCCAGCGGCCCTGCCTGAACGGTTTACCAAAACGCCACCAAATGGTATGAGTGTGTATGAGTCTTAAACCCCCTGCAATTGCCATTTCGAAGGAGTGCAATTTTCCGCTTATATACTCACATACACCCAAGAAAAGGGCGTAGACCCCTTCACACTGGTGCACTGCAGTGGGTAATCAGGTACTTCCAGTGGCATGGCCCTTGTTGATGTGGCAAGTTGCAAAGCTCAAAGCTTCTCCCAGAGCAGATAGTGTGGTATACCTTCCGACATTTTGAGCGATGCCAAAATTTTATTGAATGTATATTGTGTTTCAGTATATATGATACTTAAAGGTCCACCGTGGTTAGTAAACACTCAGCATACATACTAACCATATACAACACATACGAGAACACTTAGCACACTTAGCTATGTGCACTTAGAGCAGTTAGTAAGTGTCCTAAGTGTTTCCATAAAAGAGTTCCAACCCTGTGTGAGCCGCTCTTCCCTCCTGGGCACGGCAGCTGCTGGCGTCACCTGCGAGGGGGCCAGTGTATGTCATATGATCCCATGAACGCGTTGACTGCACGTCATATTGCCCTCATGAACGTGTTGACTGCATGTGTGGGCCTCATGTAATGTTGACTGCATGTCATGTGAACCCATGAGCATGTTGACAGATTGATGCAGAAGCCTTATTTTCACCAGATCGCCAGCGCTCCCCCTTCCTTCATGCAGTGCATGCACGTGTCTGTGACACATGCAAGAGGCACAAGCTGGCAGTTGAGACTGCGTCACATGCTCCCACACGTCGAGGCATGCCATGCATGTGTCCTCAACACTGCAGAGCCACCTCACTTTGCCAATGTGTTTGCGGTCGACCGTGGCCTCAACAAAGACCAGCCGATGATGCCCTTTCGTGAAGACTTGACAACAACAGTTGCAGGAAGCTGAAGGGCCATCGAAATCATGTCAGAGATCTTTGATGAAGCCGACTGCGCCTTCAACAAACATGGCCACTCGCGTGGAATCGAAACCTCATCATCCATCATCTCGAACTGTCTCAGAGTAGTGTCCTGCATGACACTCTTTCCAAACGACCAGGGTTGTTCACTTGATTCACTATGCGCTTCATGCGGCGCTTCCTCTCCTGGCAGAAGCATGCCAGGAGCACTTGATGTTTTCTCCACATGGACGGTAAATGCAAGCAGCTGTGGAACTTTGGCGTCCAGTATTCCGATCCATGACTGTTCTGGAAGGTAGACAAGTGAAGTTGTATCTCCCGGGCAAACTTTGACAGCAACTAACCCGCCCTCCCACAAACAAAAGCCCAAAACATGCATGCGTGACATGACATGTGAAAAGCGCAAGCAGAGCGTCCCAACCAAACCTTTTGCTTGCGCGTCCCGTACTTCAGTGAAGTGCTTCCCCAAAGTGTTCTTCTGCGCTGTGAGGAAGGATTGGATCTCGTTCAGCTCAGATAGGAGTTGGGACATCACACACCAAACAAACATGATTAAGGAGAAGAAGCAGGATGTCATGCCCATCAAAACGAACTGTTGACACGTGTCTCCACACGCTGTCCAATATTGTGTTGACATGCGTCCTGACACGTTGTCATGGTCATGGATTTTGTCATGTTGTCTTGCGTTGCGTTTCACATGACAACAACAAGAACAACAGACACAAGAACTGCCGTAGACGTGAGAGAGCACAACACAAGTACAGCTGTGAACAACCACTCGCAAAACAATTTCTCACTCAAACCTCTAGCAGTTGACTGAGTTGGCCAATGTTCAGTGTAAGACTATAGAGCTCAACCACATATCAAAGTGTTTTTTAACATTGTCTCAAGCCTCTAGCAGTTGACCAGTTCGGCAAGTGCTCAGAGCAAGACTAGAGCTCAACCACATCTCACAAAAAACAATGTGCGTTTCATCGCTGCGTATGATCTGCAAAATCGTCTGAAACTAGTCTCAACTTGTGTCAGCCCGTCTCAGCCACCAACATGTTAGAAGACCGTAGTTTAGCAATATTGTAAAAATATGATTGGCTCTAGACCTAGGTTTTTATAACATTATATAGATTGTGCAGCATTACCCAATGAAACTTTATATTTTTATATAAATTTTGCTGCATTACCCCAATGAAATTTTATATTTATAGAAAATTGGCTGCATTACCCAACAAAATTTTATAGTATTATACAAATTTGGCTGCATTACCCAATGAAATTTTCTAATATTATAAAAATTTGGCTGCATTACCCAATGAAATTTTCTAATATTATACAAATTTGGCTGCATTACCCCAATGAAATTTTATAATATTATAAAAATGGCTGCAATACCCAATGAAAGTTTATAATATTATTCAAATTTGGCTGCATTACCCAATGAAATTTTCTAATATTATAAACATTTGGCTGCATTACCCAATGAAATTTTCTAATATTATACAAATTTGGCTGCATTACCCAATCATTTGGTTTAATATTGGGAAAAATCGTGAAGCATTACCGAATGAAAATTTGTTATATTATAAACAATAGTATATTGGGATTCACTCTTTTCCAGCTCACGACCTGCCGGAGTGAAGGTCGTGCGACCAAAGGTCAGGCCGCAAAGCCGGCATCAGGTCTGCCAGGAAGATCAAGAAGATCGCTCACGCCTCAAAACGGATGCTCATAGATTAATCCCTCGCAGTGCGATAAACCTCAACCTTTGAACCTCTATAGAAGACTTGGAAATCACATCTGCTGAAGAATGGGTCCACTCTCGAATCTACTTCAAGCAGCATGGTGTCCAGAATTGTCTGCAGACCGTTTTCATTGAGCATCTGACACGTCGAAGCGTGTTCAACAGCTCCAAACCTAGGAGCGGCAGGCTGAATGCGGAGGGCATGCCATGTCATGGTGCTGAATGCAATGTCGCAGCGTGACATGGCATGAGGTTCGTGTCATGTGATGAAAAGCATGTCATAACGGATTTTTTTCGATCGTGAGAATCTTTCACGAATCCTCAATCTCAACTGCTATGCCTGCCACTTTGGCATCCACCCATCCAACGGCAGTGATGTTGTCGGTGGGCTCGTGAACGTCTCTTGGGTTCACTCCACAACCATCGCGGTTGGAAGGGTGGACTCCAACTGCCAGTGGTGGCAGCTTCATTGTCGTGACTATGCCGTGCTCCGTCAAAAAGTCCAGGCAGGACTGCACGGTCTTCACCAACTTCTCAGGCTCCTTGTGCAGGAGCTCTTGCATTCCATCCAGCACGTGACGAGGAAGTGCCATGATGCTCGGCGCAGTGAAGCAGTGGTCAGATGTGAACTTTATTTTTTGAGATTTGCGAAACATGTGTGAAAACGTTTGTGAGAGGAGTGGTTATGTGTGAGAACATGTTTGTGAAATGGGTGAACATATTTGTGAGATTGGGACCTTTCATGACGCTCATGCTTGTTCTGAGACTCATGCATGTGCAAAGTCAGAGTGTTTGACACATGAAACTCATATTCTGAGATTGTCACCTTCATGTGAACATGTTGGTCATGACA